TATGGAGCCAAGAGTGCAAACTGGAGCCCACCACTCTCCTTATTAGACAGCAAGGAAATGTTCTTATAGCAGGTAGGCAGATATGAAATGTAGTAATTATCTGTTCCTTATCAATAATTAATAATTTTCACTTGCATTCTATTCCCTTTTTTCTAGTTACTACACCTTGTTCATCACCACACTCACTGTATGTCTCACTCTGTATATTTCCATATCTGTCATGCTTTTTTTTTCTTGAACTCTTCTTGGGCAGAAAGGCACACCAAAAATTTAGCATTATTTTTGAAAATCTGGAGATCTCTACATACATATTGCTATATGTTTTGAAAGGAAACAAGCTCATGGCCTTTACTATGGGTCTGTAGGGAGTTGGTTTTCTCTGCCTTACTCTGCCAACAGTATGTCAGCTACAAGCAAAATAGAGGAGGTGCTCTGAGTGTGAGTCTGTGTTGCTTTGCAGGTGCTAAGCTTATATTGGTACTTTTAATATTCCTCTGACATAACAATTGTTTTATTGCAGTTTCCCAGCACTTTGCAGGTATGTGCAGTCTAATTGTAAAATCCTAGTAGGACATTTAACTTAGTGTCTGATTTGTTTCATCCTCAGAACTCTGTTTGCTGAGGACCTTTGTCTTTGTCCTAACAGCAGCAGCAGCAGGACCAGGGTTTGGATTTACTCCACTTTCTGACACAGGCAGAAGCCACTGAGGAACCTGTGTGACTGACTTAACTTAGTGCAGCTTGGCAGCAGCTCAGCACTGCAGTCAGACAGCCTGTGCTGGCTGCAGATGGTACCCTGGTTTCTCCCTGAAAACCGTCCCCTCAGCTCACAGCCAGACTCTTGCTCAAAGTTTTGGCCTCCTCGTGAATACCGGCATAAGTCGAGAAACAGCTTTGTAGTCCAAAGCATCCACCCTGCCCCTGGTGAAGAAAAGAGATTTTATTGAGTCAGTTTAGGGAGCAGGTAGGTGAGCAGGCAGGTGGCAACTGTGAGGGAGCAGAGAAGAGGTGAGCAGCTGAGGTGCCTGCAGAGTGGAAGAGTGCCTAGAGTGTAGTGTGAGTGGTGCCACAGACCGACAGGTCTCTAAGCTAGGGAAGGGAAGAGATCGTGTGGACCCCTTTGCCTGAAACCACTGTAGCCATAGAAGTTTTAAACAGTGAAGGATTAAACAGTGCTAAAAGTTGTTTTCGAGAGGAGTGGAATAACTCTTATCAATGGTTCCATTGACTTTAGTTGCTTTTCCAGTTTGGAGGATAGGAGAAAGTAGTATCTCCCAGTTGCTGCCTTTGTTTGAGCTCTGGTTTTATAGACTAGGTTAATTGATCAGATCTTCTTTTTCATTTTCCTTTATCTGGCTGATCTCTGAGTCTTATGCACGTTACAGATATCTCACAAACACTCCATTGTGAGCAGTGATCAGCTCCAATCTCACTTTAAAGCTATAGATCCGTTCAGAACTTCAGCAGCAATGGCTTTAGGAAAACAAATTATTGTAGGAAGTGATACATGTACTCACTAAATAGGTTGCAATAGTCCCCTGCAGTAGGTGGTGCTCACTGCTTAAGTAAAATTAGGTAGTGACAGTGCAGGGTATACCAGATTTTGGCTGAGTCTTAAAACCAGAGACTTACAGTTAATGATGGAAGA